GTGCATTGAAACGGTAGCGTTACCAACCGCGATCATTTTGCTTACGGTCCCACGTTTCACCTACGACCGTATTGCACACGTATCCTCGTATTTCCGCGCGCACAAAACGTGCCGCGTCGATTTGTCCCCGGTAGTCTTCGGTGAAACATTCAATAAGAACGACTATCGCCGCCAGTGTCCTTAGACCTCCTATCTGTTTCGACGATTGCCGGAGAACTTATCGGGCCCATTCACAAAATGATAAAGTGGTAAACGTTTATCGTACAATTAAGATATTACCGTAAATTAAACCTACTACTACTAACTTCCTAACGATCTCTTCCTTCGACTGTTATTTTCATTATAGTGAAATGAATTAATTTTATTTTAATTTCTTCATATTTTTGTACACTGGAGAATGTTATAGATAAATCAATGAACGAAGATATATAGCAAAGCCCATTAGATAAAGTAACGTGGCGACGCTTCGAGCGCTCGACGCCAGAGGGCCACGCTCTTAATTCTCTCGCAAGCACTCGACCTTCCACCTACTCCTCCCCGACGGACTAAGGCAGGGCCTGCTAGCATTGTCAGGACATTCAGTGGTCTCTCGAAAAGAGTGTACAAGGTGACCAAATCGAAATGAAATCAACACTCTTTTCGATAGACTCGGTCGTTTAGTAGTAGGTTCAAAACCATTTTATCAATACACCCCTGGTGTAATTCATATAGTAAAAATTCTAGCGTATATTTAAATATAGCAGACTCAATTTAACGTTGCTGGTGAATCCAACTACACTTTGTACGAGGGGCTACGCGAACCCCCGTTTCCGGGGGAAAGGCACAGAGAGACTTCCCCGAAAATGCGTTGGTCGCCTAGGAGTCGAGAGGGCAGGTCGTCCAGGGCGCGATATTCGGGGTCTTCTCGAATGTTTCCTGTCATTTAGCGGCAAATGGATCACGTAAGTGCCAGGCGCGCGGAGACGCGAGAGAGATACGCGGTGTAACGGAGCGAGAGGGGAACACACGAAATGACGGACACGGGGAATTTATACGACGGGGCCTGGTCACGGGCAATTGCCCTGCTCGTCACGGACCAGAATAATGTCGTGATACGTGCAGACCGAAACGCCCGAGAGGAAACAACGCGGATGACGACGACGGTCCCGTGGTCTGCGGCTCGAGACGGATCGGCGACGGCCGTTGTTGTCCGCGTCTGGCCTTGCGCGTTATTATCGTATAGATTCCTCTAGTCAGCAGTCTACAATGTCGTTGAATTGGCAATGAGACGCGGACGGCGAACGACGCCCGCGGAGGAGCGTGTGTTTAACCTTGCCGTGAACGCGAACGCGAACGGAGGAATCGTTGGCCATCGACGACCAACAGGATGAACGATTCCGGGGATCGAAGGAACTCGAACTCGAACTCGAACTCGGGGGGAGCGTCCATTTCTGTCGATCCGGAGGATTTATGACCCTCCTCCTTTGGTGAACGGAGTTGGCAAAGGAACCAGACGTACCCTGGTTTCGGGGATATTGAGCGTTTGCCAAGGACGATCGAGAAGTTTTGAGAATCAGGTGTTCGGTTGATGTGGATGGAGCGAAGATGATGTGCAATGGCGGCTGGCGGAATCTGAGAAGTCTCCTGCAAGCGTTTGGGAACAGGTGTCTCGTGGTCCAAGCTGAGGAATTCCTTGGAAAAACTGGAAAGAGTGTTGTGGTTGCTGGTAAAGTTTGAGAAAGTTGTGCTTTCAGGATGACCAAGTCCAACTTTTGAGGAACAGAAATCTGATTAATGTGCGTGGTGCTTGGATATTAAATTGATATTTAAGACCTATAAAGTGAAATAAATATAGTGCACAGGATGGTCGAGTCCAACTCTTGACAAAAATTAAAAAGTATGCAACAGTTTGGGTAACCAAGTGTAGCCTGTTTGATCAGAAGTTTTGAGGAACAAGGGTGTCCGCTAGGTGTGACTGATACCGGAAATTGAAGGAAAACTTCTACACAAAGTGAATCGAATATGGCGTATAATGGTTTGGGAATTGCGTCTCCGCCCTGGCGTTGATCGAGGTGAAATTTTGGAGAACCAGGTGTCTATTTGATGTGGGTGCTGCCGGAGGATTCGTTATCGAAGCTAGACGAACTTTGGTGTTCAAAGTGAATCGAAGATTACGTATAATGGTTTGGGAATCGAGTCTCTGCTTGTGTGGCGATCAAAGCCGGATATCAGGGAAGGAGAATTTGTGTTCTTGAGGTTTTGAAAAACAGGTGTCTCTGTTGCAAGGAGGACAGATGATACATTGTGGCGAATGTAGGTTCCCTCGGTTGGTTGTTCTCGTGTCTTGACTCCCTAAAAAACATTCCCCAGCCCGTAAACAAAGGAATAAACGTCTCCTCATCGACACCGAGTCCCGTGAATCCTCGTGGAAGATTTTATGCCCCCGAATTTGTAGTCGCGGGAGACGATCTGATAAGAAAGCCACCGGTTTTCAATCGGCGTGGAGCACTTTCGTTAAATCGTGCGCAGGTTTTACGATCGAGGCATGAAATTTTCCGTCCGCGCGATAAATCCGATCGACGCTGCCCGGTTCCCTAAAAATTTTATGCCCGACAAATGTCTCGAGATCCCAGATTGCGTTTGTATCGTTTCTTATTTCCATGGTCACGGTTCTCGCCCACGATCGTAAACCAAAAGCCAGTTTCAGGGGGATTTACAAGCGTACCGGGGATCGAACATTATTTTATTTACAAATTATCCGCGAACACAGCTTGTTAATTCATATAGATAGAATTATTCGATAAAATAAAGCTTCCACTGGTTGATTTTGATTCTATTAACTTTGTTGTTTATCTTTTTTATTAATAGAAACGAGAAACAAGTTTAAATGAATTTAAACTACTAACTAATAATCGATTGTGTGTCAATTTAATAGCTTAGTCCTTATTCTTCGATGTACAAGACGAATCGTCGATGAAAATTAAAGAGAATAATTCCATTTACGATCCGAGACTTTCTCCCGTTAGTTTTAATTCATTGTTATCAGTGGTACTCGCTAGTACGAGTACTTCTGACACAAAAATTGAATCCTCGACAACAAGCGTAAAACATGCATCGCAAATAAGTTTTTACGACGGCATAAGAATTTTACGGTAACATAAAATCTTACGCTACGCGAGATATCCGCGAATAAAATGATAAGGAATTTCGAGCAAAAGGGTAAAACATGAAATATCCCTCGTAAAGCATCGATTTCTATGGTCAATTTTTCGCGATCCCCGGGACCAAGGAGATGGCTACAACTTGTCCCCAGTAGATCGGGGAAGTTCCGCGACGACGAAACTCGCAGCTATGATATTTAGTAGCCGTCGAAACGGTCCACTTGCCTGCTCGGAACAGCGTCGTTACCGTTAAGTGGTCGTTTCTGTTACACGATGCGTTTAACGACGCTAACTGCAGGTGGTTGATAAATTATTAATTGGCCCCGGTAATCGAATTTGCTTGACCCAGACGCGAGCCACGTCTCACAGTTTAGTATTGTTCCTGGAATTAACGTTCGAGTTGTCACCTACGGTACTCGCCGCTAGAGGGACAGCTCTCTCGCAAGCACTCGACCGACTCCTAATATCCCGGCGTCTATGGCAGAGTCCACTAGCAGACTAAACTTTTCTTATCATATAATTCACAGGGGACTCCCAAAGTATAATAAGTAAAAAATGGAAATGGGACTATGTAATCAATGTGAGAAAGGGGGAAAGTATGGTATCAAGGTCTGAATGTGGACCACGTAATAAAGAAAAACTGAAGTCCACTAGAGCAGGCCCAGAATGAGACCTTTCTAGGATCTTTCTCACCTCCTCCACAGAGTATTTCGACATGCTTTCTCGTATCAGTAAAGAAGGTTGAATGCCAAGACATTGGTACAAAATATTTAACCCTTTGCACTCCAAATTACATTTCAATTTTGTTGCCAGCAACTCCCAACGCTTTTAAGTGTTTTATTTGAAATTTACGTTAACTAAAAAATAAAGCAATTTAAACAAATAGACGAAGAAACAAATTCAATTAAATATCTGCTTAATTTACACCGATGTTGTATTTTGTAATTTTCAAGTGTATGATATCTCTTGAAACTTGTTTCGCAAAAAAATGATTGATTTCCCTTCTTCCCTCGGGTATTTCTCTGTTTGAGCAAACTGCACAAACCTTATGCTTTCTTTCGGAATATACGGAAATGAAATTGAATTCTATTGGTTCGAATTTGAGAAAATGTCGAGCGGGACTCGACGAAGGAGCAGCTGACATAAGAACCGATGTCGAGTCACGCTCCACACAGGAGTGCAAAGGGTTGAGGGGGGAACCTTATGTAAATGGCCTGTTTTTCAAGAATTTTTTTTGAAAAATCCAATGCACAGATTCATTTAAAATTTGAAGTATATTAACGTTATAATGTAAAGAAAAATATTTTTTATAAATTTTAATTGTTAATAACAATGGTACAATGGTGGCTTGAAAATGGCATCCTGTACAATGCACAAAAATGATCTAAAACAAAAAAATCAAAATAGAATAGTTAGTTTATGCAAAAACGCTCAGCATGACATTCTTCTTTTGTTAAAATTTTCAAAATTGCAAAAATGGCGGATGTTTGAAAAAATAACCGGATTTCTGATCATGAACAATTGTTAATAACAAGGTTTTGTATAAAAAATAAAAAAATCGGAGCTCGTCATGCTTAGGCCAATTATTTATAGAATATATATGCCAAGTTTCATAAAGATCGAGTAATTAGTTTTTCACTTTATTTTGAAAATAAGGCACAACGAAATCTCTGATCACTTTCTAATTTTTTTATCGTATTCCCGAGGAAATTTCCTACCAATTTAAGCAAAAAAAAAAAAAAAAATGCTCAAAAATTTCATTTTACATGAGGTTTCCCCCTTAGTAGAGAAGGTTTGTGGGAGAATCTGTTAGCTCGTTGGGGGCGGAATTTAACAGGGTTCCTTCTGGTTGTTTCGCAGATGCTGTCGGTGAGCCCAGGAATGGAGGTAGGCAGCGGCGGTCACGGCGGCCTCGGAGGTGGACTGGAGGGTGATCCGAGCGGTGGTGGCGCCGGCGTCGGAGGGGGCGGGGGTGTCGGCGAAGGAGCCACCGAGGGGATGCAGGAAGCGATGGTAGCCGCCGCCAGGGACCGGGCGATCCGCGCCGGAAGTGTCCGGCAGGACCTCGCCCTCGACCTGCCACCACGGCTTCAGCTTCCTGACGGCGAGGAACGTCCTTACGGGGCGCACACCGCCCTTCATCTGCGCGACCCTGAGCAGGTGAGCTCTCGACCCTTCGATTCTTCAGGGACTCCTCGTCGCGTTCCACGGCTCGGAAAACCCTCGTTTCCTCGAACTTTTGGATCTTTTACCGGGCCCCAGGGTCGAATTATCAATTCCTCCATGTCTCTCCGTAATTTAAAATATGCATCGGAGAGCAGTACTGTTTTAAAACATTCTAGAAACTTTTTTTGCAATTCATTTCCATGCAATACTTATTTTACTGTTATCAACACATGTCGCGGGGCACGAGATCGCACACGCTTGCTTTGTGTGTGTTATGACTAATAATACGTCAACAATAATATTATCTTGCGTGACAAATTTACGCCCATTAACGAAACGATCGACGTCTCGGGTATCCTAAAAGTACGAGACGAGTAAGAAAGATGCGGAATAGTGTTTGTAATGTAGCTTGTCCGGGGAGTGCTCGTATGGGAAATCTTTATCGAATTTTTTTTTTTTATACCGTTCATTGTCGTATCGACATTTATAGTTCCTCGTAATCATTCCTCTAGCGTTCGAGTGTAATTCACTTTCGTCTATAAACGTCAGTCGATGCGGAGAGGTGGCTCGAGTCTGATTATAAGTAACTTGACATAAAATTCGTTTCCGAGAATAGTTCCACCGTGCTAAGAATACATAAGTTTTTCAAATACTAAAACCCGCTAGAAATAATCTCCTGAATGCAAAATGGTTTAACCCTCGAAAGAAAATAAATCCAGACTTTGTAGGAAATATCTTTCGCTTGTAGTGGTTCGAATTTTTACAGAAGAGAAATTTTTCAGCAAAAAAAGAAATTTCAAATCATTCTGGAAAAAATTATTTTCGGTTGCAGGGGTTAATTACAATCATTTTTGGTGAATACACATACCCCCGAAATCCTACACAGTTTTGAGCAAAAAATTCAGTAAGTGGACAAGTTTTTCGTCGAAATTGAAAAGTTTCAAATCGTTTTGGAAAAATTATTTTCGGTTGCAGGGGTGAATTACAACCATTTTTGGTGAATAGACATAACCCCGAAATCCTACGCAGTTTCGAGAAAAAAATTCCTTAGCAATAATATAATGTGAGGCCAGAAATGTCACTTGAAAATTTCGTGCGTATCTTTAAAACGTCATAACTTCTGAACAGACCGATAGATTTTAATGTTTAAAAAAGCAAACAACGCGTATTTTAGTGAAGAATACGTAGAAATTGCAACAATAATGAAAAAGTTGTTCCTTGACCCCGTAAAATTAGAAAAACCACATAAAAATGGTCCAATTCTCAAACTGCCATAACTCCTGCAATAGTGAATATATTTCAATGAAACTTTTTTCTGAAGTTGGGCTCTTGAACACCTACAAAAAAGTATTAAACAACTTTTCTATAGGGCGTCAAACAAAAGTACTAAAAATGAAAATCGAATTTTTAAGAAAAATCGTCCAGGGTACTGCTGAAATTTTTCGGTGAAAAAAAAAAATTCCAAATCCTTTTGGAAAAATTATTTTCAGTTATGGGGGTTAATTACAATAATTTTTGGTGAACAAACCTACCCCCGAAATCTTATGCACTTCCGAGAAAAAAATTCGAGTAGGTGGAGACATTTCTCGGCGAAATTAAAAAATTTCAAATCGTTCTAAAAAAATTAGTTTTGGTTCCTGGGATCGATTACAAACATTTTTGGTGAATAAACGTACCCTCAAAATCCTACGGAGTTTTGAGAAAAAAATTGTTTACTGAAACTATGTCTGACCAAAACACATATTCTACTTATTTTACTGAAATTTCATGGGTATCTTTAAAACATTATAATTCCTGAACGGATTGAACGATTCTAATGTTTCAAAATACAAACAATGCGAAATTCTTGGATGTATGGTCTACTCGTATACCTCATCTGTGATTATGTCAACCGAGGATTAATACCATTAAGCGCCATCGCGGTGGCGTAAATTTTCTACCGATCGAATGGCTGGATTTCCCCCAATCTCATTTTCATTTATTATACGGTCGCTTATTAGTCGATAATAACCACGCGTTTTCGAACGGCTGATTAATAACACACGCGAAAAGGGACGAATTCCCGCGCTCCTGGGATATAATTAAATCGATTTTATTTCCCAAAAAAAATATCCATACGCAAATGGGTCCTTTTAATGTCGTGGTGCGTTCATTAATCGTTCGCTTGGTAATTAGCTGCGTTGATCGTTGATGCTTAGAAATTATTTACGAGCGCACTCGGATCCCGGCGTCAAAAGGCACAAAGTTGCTCGTTAACCGACCGTGGCGCTTGTTACCTCGGAAGTTTTTCGGGATTCCCGGGTGCCGCGCGGCGAAGCTCGATTTTCCTACGGATCGTCCCGTAATTAATGTCGACCCGAACCGTGTGCTAATTGGCTCGGAATATTCCGAGATGCAATTAGCGCGCCGCCGCGCGTTACACGCTCTCAAAATATTCCCGATGGAGGAGCTTTTTTCGAGGCCGTTAATCGCGTTTACTTCGACGGGAGGTTGATTTCCCCGCGGAATAATCCGCGGATAATACTTGTTCGACATCTCGAAACGTCACGGGGACGTAATGCACTATTCAAACGCTTGCCCTAGTACTTTTTACTCGACGGGTAGGCTTGCGCAAGCATCCTTGATAAGCGTCGCTCGAGCTTCTCGAGAACGCTGGAGACCGCCATTTTCAACTTTTTTTTTTTTCGCCTTTGTGCGTTTCCCTTGTGTTGCCCGCAATCCCGCTCAGAAATACCCTCCGCGACTTCCACTCAACCCTCTCGGTTCGAAAGTATTGAAAAATTGGATTTTTATCGGGCATAATTCTGTGTACGTTTGGCTTCTTTTTAATAACTCCAACAGGCTCTGCCTTGGACGCCAGGACATTGAATGGTCGGTCGAGCACTTGCGAGAGAGTCAAGAGCGTGGCCCTCTGTTGACGAGTACTGGAAACTTTGAAAACTCCTGGGGCTTCTTAACGGTTATTTTTACTCATCAGGTCGATCGTTTATTATCAGAAATTGTTCTCTATAAGTTCTCTGCGTTTTGGAAAATAGCTTGAACTCAGAGATAAGTTAATTTGAAATATCTCTGGACTTTTAACGGCTAAATTTGTAAATTGTTACGGGGATAAGAATTTATTCCGGTGTTTGGAAGACGATGGAGACGCCGCGTGCTCGCGTCTGGAGACAGCCAACCAAAGGAGGATCAGGTTCTACCCTCTTGAGGCTTCTGGATGCCGGGATCGAGCTAAAACACGCGCTCCCTCGGGACCGTTCGAGGGTCACGGGTTAGAATTTCAGTAATTCTACGCCCCTGCGCGTGTATACCCGCGAATGGCACGTCGTACTCCCGACCTGCTGGCGTCGAACGAGCCTCGCTTCCGCCCATCCAACCACGGATAAAACAACATTTATAATGAAATAATTAAACGTCCATCCATCGTTCTCTGCCGGTCAAAAACAGTTTTAAAAATTTAAGGAGCAATTATCCTGGAAGCGGTTTAACAATTCTAGGAGCAAAACCATCCGACATATTAATTATCGAAATAAAGTAATGGCCCCCGCTGGTGTTTCGTAATTATTTTTCTAGCAGGGTATGGGTGCTTTCATTGTTTTCGTGTCCCTCGATCCACCATCCAAGTGGGTTCCAGCAGAGTTGTTGCGCAACAAGTACCATCGAGTCTCTGCAAAATTGTTCGCGTTCGAACCTTGCGCCTCTCGAACGTCGGAGGCTCACGTTTGACCTACTATTTGCCCATAAAGCTATAAACAGTATGGTCAAGAGCCCAGAAATATTAAAATGCTCCAACATCTGGTTGTCGGCCATAGGCCACCGACATTTTCTTAGCGCATAAACACCGTGCATGGGTCATGGTTTCAACCGGGTCGACCATACTATAATCAACGTGAATTTGCATGTATTAATTTCACAAATCGTTAACATTGTAAATAAATTAAATTAAAAACTCAAACATTCGGCAAATTGCAATAAATTTCCAAGCATCATTTTCCACAACTAATTGTCAAATTCGGTAAAAATGATCGATAGTACTCTGGGGACTCTTTGCGCTCGCCGCTAGAGGGCTACGCTCTTAACTCTCTCGCAAGTGATCGAGTGACTATTCGTATATACAGGGTATTCGACCACTGCTAGGAAAAATTTTAATGGGAGACTCTAGAGGGCAAAATAATTTGTTGCGTGCGTGTTTGTTAAAAAGTTATTAACGAAGCCTCGATCGCCAAATTGGTATTCTCGATTTTCGTCTTATTTTGCCCTCCAGAATCTCGCATGTTACCCTAAGGTGGCCGAACACCTTGTATACAATCCTCAACCGACCACTGAATGTGAGACCAACTCCCACGCGAGCAATTGGCTATTGTATTAAAAGTTTCCTTCAGCGGTGGACTAAAGCGTTTGGTGTGTATTGCAGGAGAGCGAGATCTACCAGAAGTGCGTGCGACCGCCGCCGAATCGGACGGTGTTCGACAGCGAGAGCCCGCCGCCTTACAGGAGCCAGTCGGCGCTGTTGGACGCGCCCGAGCGGATAGTCCGTTGCCACAGCGCGGGCAGCTCGTTGCTGAGGGTGTTCCGGAAGTTCCCGAGTCCGAGCAGCTCGACGCCCGCGGTGGTGGTGCCGCCTAGGAGGCCGACCCTGTCCAGTTATTCCGAGTCCAGTAGCAACCTGAGCAACCTGTCCAGCCTTACGGTGGTGCCGTGCGAGGCGGACGAGAGCCAGCAGCAGCAGCACCATCACCATCAGCAACAGCATCATCAGCAGCACGTCTGATCCGCGGCGCGGCCGAGAAGGAGAAGAGCACTCGAGGCCGCGACGCCCCCGGGGAGAGCGTTCCTCGAGGTCGACGGACGACGAAGGATCACGCGGAAGCGTCGACGAGACCGACCGAGCGAACAAGACGTGGCGAGGAAGGACGCTGGCGCCGAAATCGTCGTCGTCGTTCTGCCCTCGAGAATCCTCGAGCCGTCGAGGATCCCTCAAGACTGACTCCGCAGGAGAAACTTCGGTACGGGTTCTCGGCCAGCCGACGCACAACGGCGTCGCCAGCCGTCGGTGGAGTCTCTCGCTGACGGGGACGGCGGGAGGAGAAGAAAAGAAGACTCCGTGGATGGTCCTCCACAGTATTTCGGTAAGAGGCAGGAGTGCGTCCTCGGCAGACTCGACGAGAGGCTTTCGTGCTCCTCGATCCGATCCGTGTTCCCCGGAACGCTCGTCGCCCGACGCTCGTCGTCCAACAGCAATCCTAAACAGGGCCAGTCTCTAGCCTAGATCTCAGACGATTCCAAAGCACCCAAGACGAGACGCGGAGAAGGGGGTTACCGAGCGGAGAACCACTATGGCCGGGCGACGGAAGAGACAGCCGACGAGCGTCGCGACGGAATACCCCCCGCGGCGGGGAGGTCCCAGCGAACACGAACGCCAACCATCCTTTCGCTGGCGTCCCTGGAGAATGTCCCGGTGTTCGCCAGACGCGGTTTTTACCCTACGAAGAGGTCTTCCGAGGGCCTCGAACGGACGATGGATGGTTCACGTCAAGGTCCCGCCGTTCGAGATCCACCACTCGTCCTTCGAAGACACACCTGACACGCTCCGGTGGACAGAACAAGAATACGCATCGCGACTCGCGCGGAGAGAATAGAGCATTTGGTGGACACCGGAAACGACAGGGGACCAGCGACGGAGCCAACGCCGCGTCCGACAACCCGGACGGGTCGATCATCGAGTATCGTGGAAGTTTGTTCTCTGCGAAAAAGACTTAGTAAATTATTTATTGGCGGTTGGATCGCGAGTCTGCGCTCGCGGTTAGACCGCGAGACAAACGGGAGAGAGAGGGAGAGCCTGGATGGATCAGGCGCGACGACGCGCCGCCAGACCCTGGAATAAATGGACGAATAATTGTGTCTATTTGTGTGTGAGTGTCTCCGTGTGAATGAGAGAGGAGAGACCCCGGAACAACTCGGATCTCGGGGAAAAAACGATGGGACGAGGACGCGATCGGGAAGCAGGAGTTAGGCGACTTGGGGACGAGGATCGTCGGCCGAATGACGAGAGCAAAAGAGAGAGAGAGAAAGAGAGAGAGAATCACCGAGGAAAAGTAGTGCCAAGAGCGTAACAAAAAGAAAACTCTGTAAATATTAGGTTAGGTAGTTCAATATCAATATAATTATTACGACTAAAAATGATATGCTATATACTGATTAAAAAGTAATACCTTACACCACGCATAAACACGAGTTTACGGGCGGTGCGAAATCGCTGCTGGGACGCGCCACGAGGTCCGCGAGAACTGTATTTTTCTTTTTTTTTTCATCGAGAAACGTCGACGCGTCGATCTCTCCCCGGACGAACCGAGAGCCCCGGTGTTTCCGTCGATCCGCCATTTTTTTTCCAGAAAATTCGACTCGGGGCGTCTCGGTGACCGGTTTCTTTTGGAGTACTAGACAGAGACGATTTGTTGGCGACGATTGGCATTCACGTTTTAGTGATTGGTTGTGTAACGAACAGCCTCGAGAAGGGACGGGCAACGTTCCGTTCGCATCGAACGGCGATAATTAAATGTAATTTCGTTTTATGTAATTGAAGTTGATAGTTTTATTCGACCCCGGGGGCGACGACGTAAAAAAATTTATCGTCTTGTTGTTCGTTGCCCGTGGACACGCTCGTCCGGTCGTGGAACACTGCCCGTCTCTCTGGGTCTCGAGGAGAGGACGAACGACAGCGGGGAAATATCGATTCGTCGATGCCTCGATCGATGGTCGACGCAACGCGTCCCGCCGTGTTTCGCGCGGCTCGAACGATGTCTGATATAAACGCTACTTTATTATTATTCAGATAGATAAGGCTTCAGTTTTTGACGAAATAGGACGAGATCTGCTTTGACGACGAACCGAAAGTCGACGACCGGCTCTTGTTTGCCGTTCGTGATCTTTCCTCTGCGGTTCGACGGGAACGTTCTAGATTTAAATTGGCCCCCGTCCGGTTGCTGACCGAGATTCACTCGAGGATCTCTTGCGAAACGACGCTTCGATCGATACAAACGCATCGCGAAATAATTTCCAAGCCTTCGCCGAGACCCTGCGATTTAAAGCTGAAAATTAATTGGCGATCGAGCTCCTCGAATTTAGACTTTTAGAGAGCTCGAGTATATTTTATTCGTTTTTGGTTAGGGGAAACATTGACGCGTGTTGAGAAACCATTCGACACAAACAACAATTATATTTAGGCGAAACTCTGATATACTCTATTATTTATTTATTTCGATAACTAAGTTTAACCCAAGCACTATAATTAAATTAACACGTTTTAAATAGGAGATTTCAATTGCGCTCTTGTAAATTTCGATGAAAACAAATTACAAAAGTGTCCTCTTAAGACGTTCGCTAGTACGCTTGACAACAGCTCTATGTCTGTACGAGCAAATTGAGTGTGAATTACACAGACCAGTGTCGCCTCATGCGCGACATATTACTCAGAATATTCAGTTACAAGACGTATTATTTGTACATAGATAAAGACGACTATAAGTACAGTCACTGTGGTGGACGCGTTTCCAATTGGACTTTGGTAGCGAACGTGTCAAGACGAGGTTCAATGAGATTTATACGCGATCAATCGCAATTAATTTTATCCACCGTAACTCGCTAAATTTTTTTTAATTAAAAAATACTAAAATAAACTTCGATTGGAAGAAGATCTACGGATACTCTCGTCAGCAACTCGACAGAAAATGTTTCGTTTACGTTTGCAAGTCGCTAACAAGTATTGCACCCCGTGCAAAAGAGTCGTTTATTTTATCCGATTCGCATCGATCGATCTATCGGTGCACGTCTCGCGAACGAGCGCGATCCTCGAGCGTGGACGAGCAAAATGGCGGCGTCGACTTCGGTTCTCGGCCTCGGGACAGAACGAAACTACTGAAGTATCTCATGAGAAGTCACCAATTATTGTAATCCTTAAAACTGTAAGACGAAGGGGTAAAATTGCAAAGAAATTACCGTCAGGTCTCGCTTCCGTGTCGCGGTACGAGCGTGTCGAGACAAAATACGAACCTTGTCCAGCGCCATCCGAACGTCGTCGAAGAGAAAAGCGATCGTACGCGACCCGGAGGCGGCCCGCCGTCGTAAAACCCACGATTTGGCGTCGAACAATGCGCAAAACGAACAAATGCCGATGAAAAATCGTACAGGATATATATATACATATACACATATACACACGCGTACATATATATGTATATATATTGGTGAAACGAAATCGCAAATTTGTCATTTCGATTAAATGTCCGGGCAGTTCTACACACGACACTCGACCGTCTCTCTGAGCGCCGCGGCGCTGAGCGCAGCGACGGGGAAGTCTATCAGTTCTCCATCTTCGATAAAGAAAAGGGAATAAAAAAGAAAAAAAACGAGGGGGAAACAAAAAAAAAAACAATAACGAAGGAAAAATGTGTTCACGCGCATGCAATATTAGGCGATGAAGGATTATATAAATCGTATACTCCACGCGAAGATATGAGAAAACTATGTGGGGGGGGGAAGAGTGACGAAACGAGTAGAATGAAAACGAAATGAGACGAGAGGAACGAACAATAGCGGGCTAACGAGATATATGTGTGCGTACCTCGCGATTGAACGCGCACCAATCGACGAGAAAATGTGACGAAAAGAGTGGAAGAGAGAGAGATCGAGAGACTGCGTGTGATTGATAGCGAGAGAGAGAGAGAGAGAGAGAGAGAGAGAGAGAGAGAGAGAGAGAGAGAGAGAGAGAGAGAGAGTGAGAGTGAGAGCGAACGAGAACGAGAACGAGAAAAGAAAAGAAAACGAATAAGATTACGGAAAGGTGCGGCTAAATCCAATGGGTCTTGTGCAAGCCTCGGTTAAATTAAAGCTGTTATCGACTTAGATTAAATTTTAAAATGCCAAAACGGAGCTCCGGAAACCGCGCGCGAAATTTTTCCTAACGGGGGGGGGGAGGGGGGAGGGGGGGGGGAGGAGAAGCGAAAAATTTTCCAGCGAGCTCGATATTATATAAATATATAAATATATATATATTCTAAATATTATCATCGGAGTATCGTGAGCTTTTCGACGATCCCGGTACGAGCGAGGCGGATTCGATCGTTGAGTGTGGCCTTTCGATGAAAATCACGGGCGAATCGGGCTCCCCGGTGCCGATCGAATTTTTTGCCCGGTCTCGCGACGCGGTCTCGACTCGGAACGAACGGATCGATACTCGAAACGCTGACGCTTGGAGCGGTGTCCTCTTTCTCGGATCGAGTTGCCGCGCGATTAGTCCCGATACCCGCGTTCGGTGTAGATAGACGGTAACCATTTTGGAATATTGCACGTTAACACGTTCCACGGCCTAATTCGTGTCACGTTTCCAAACGATCCTCTTCCAAAGCGAAAGGAGACGGTTGCGTTGCAAGGACGTTAGGAATCTTGCCGTTAGAAAATAAGAAAATTTATGCTTAAGGTTCCCAAGTGTTGACTGTGTCTTGGGTGTCCCTGATGAACACGTTACGGTTGTCTGTTACTTAAGGGCGTGTTGCTGCTCGTAGATGGTCCGACGTTCGAAATTTCAGATCGTATAGGTGAATTGTACATAGAACGTGGATACTGTGTACGGTACGATCGAACACGGTCGCCGATGTGGTGTTAACGAGCGTGGATAACGACGTATGGAGGATTCGTAGACAGATATCGTTGCTCACCGACCATTTTTTGACTTCGATTGTTCCTGACTTTGGGTTCCTAAATGTAGGCCCCCACCAACCTAATTGTTCAAAAGAATGATATTTAAGGAGTAGCTTGCGTCCTTATTGTCGTTAGGATGATCACCGGATGGATGACTATCTAAGAACTTCCTAGCCGGTGGTCGGAGAGCCTGTTCAAACATTCTCAAGGTTCCCCTGTGCTTTCTTATGTAATCGAAAACTGTTAATGGCGATTGCTGGCCAGTTCTGTACATAACAGAGGACAATCTCAAAATCCACACCGATCATCCGAACCTGGAGAGGCCTGAAATTGTTTGGTAGAGCATTATCGAACCATGACATAACCATGGACAGCCTTAAGCAATAGTAGGCCTGCGAGGCAGGAGGGCATTGTTCTAAAGATACACGAGTTAATAATGTAAAGGCCTTAGATATATTAAAAAAGCAGACTGTGTGTCGCTATACATAGACTGAGAACGTGTAGATGGCCTGGAGGATAGTTCGATCCCTGGAGCGTCGTTGAACAGTGACATAAACATGGATCTTTGATAGTTGAGACATGCAGGATGCAGATCATTGTCTGCTAGAGTCACATACGAAAATCCCAAACAGTATCCACTTGGAACGAACCCAGACTATAAGACCACGCGAGACCAACGTTTTTAGGTCACTTAGTAGACCACAAGCGTGGACACCCTTAAGTAATAGTTGAGTCAGTGGATCCTCAGATATTGGGGCACTGTTCTAAAGGAATTAAGCTTCGGAATCTCAAGCAGTAACAATCTAAAGAATTCGAAACACGAAGGGCCCAGGTGCACCTTGAAAAGGTTGGACGATACTGGAATTGTCCTTCAGTACCTTCCGAACGTGTTAACGATCTGGAGGATAGTTCAATTGGTAGATCAATGTCCGGAATACGGCAGATCCTCCTAGGTGAATTTTGAAAAAGCTTCTTCGAGCGTCAGAAGCGAACGAAAGCTCCGTTTGTCTTTGTTCTCGCCGTTCGTACGTCTTCGTGGAAGCGTTGTGCTCAGGTTGATCGACCGGACGCGTCCACGAGCCCGTCGATCAGACTGGCCGCTTCCGGTTCGTCTAGTCATGCTGAGCCGTGCGTCCCGTCGTAAGATGAAATCAATCGGTCGTTTTCATTGATCGTTGGATCCCGAATAATTGGATCACGCGCAACCGCGATTGTGATTTCACGAGGTGTTCCCAAAATTGCGTATTTGGCCGCTCAAAGCCAACCAACGAGAATTCGACTCTGCTTCGAGGCTTCCAGCGAAGCTGCAATTATTATCATCGTAAACGTCGATAAGATTGGTGTGTCTAGTCCACCACGACTAGGGGGATCCGGACCGTTCAGGCTTCGCGTTGCTCTCATTTCACCGACGCGAAACGATCGAGAATGTTTCGTCGTCCCCTTTAGCCAATCACCCGCAGCAACGCGACGAGGATCCCCGTACGTCCTGGAATGTAAATTACGTTTCTTTGTTTTTTTTTAAATTTACGTTGTTAGGTAAACCGAAAATGTGTAGGTCGAGGTGGAAGTTGAAAACGAATCAATGCACAGACCCGCAGACTGATATGGATGCAAATCTGAGAATCAAAATTTTAGACCGTCTCGTGGTTACTTCGAGGACGCAGTGTCTTATGAACGTCTTTTGGTACGTTTCGACGGAAGCGAGACTATTATCAAGTGTATCGAGAGAACGAAAGAGAGAGAGAGAGAGAGAGAGAGTGTGCGTGTGAGAGAGTGTTGGTACCAAAAGAACGAGGGGGATGTGTGCGTGTGTGCGTGGGAGGGGGAGTGAATGTATGAGAGATTGAAAGGAAAAAAAAGACGATTAAAGGGAAGAAGAATCACTAGCCAACGTGTGTCATTCGAGTCGAATAATCATCGTTTCGTTATCGTGATGTACGAGCAGGAGAACGAAGGGATATAAGAGAATAATAATACGAGAGAAATTGGAGAAACTTTTTTCAAGGTAATCGATCGATGTTGTAGGAACAGTGTCATTTAAAGTAGTAGGTTGCTTCTACCAAAAGGAAAGTCACATCTCGGGATGAGTAAAAAAAATGGTTTCACGTGATTCGAAAGTCGCGCCAACCGCGTGGCGGCGCTCGAAGCGGCGCGAGATTCGAAAAAAAAACGCGCGGGAGGGAAGACCGTTTCGTGCTTCTGTCCGCTCCTCCTCGATCTCTCTTTTGTCTTCTTCTTTTTCTTCGATCTTTTTTCCTATGCGCGTCGATAAACCACGCGAAAGGTCTCGAGCTCTTCGAGCGTGCCACGAACGCGCGGGAAAGTAAACGGTTTTTTATACAGTAGAATTGTACCAATTGTACCACATAGGAAATGAAAAAAAAAACAAAAAAAACATAATGATGTTCGTTGTTCACTGCTCTGGCTTGCTAGGAAACAGCAAAACAATAACTAGGGCCTCTCGGAGGCTGTTCGGACCAGGAGTGGCGCGATAAACAAAAAGACTGTTGACCAATAAACGAGCGTAATTCATTCGAGAGAACTTGCTCCGGACAGTCCCCTTCGTGCCCCCGGTATGAATCGGCAACATTTCGACATTGCAAGATTATTGGTGTACTTATCACGCAGTTTTCTACAAAATAAAGAAAACGATTTTGAAAAAAAAACAAGACGAGAATTATTTCGCACCATTCTCCACACTTCCTGAAACGTTATTGATCCTGATTATTCTTTACGCCCGACGTTATCGAATATTTTGAGTGGTAACACGTTGCACGCGTTGCTTGTGAGATGGCGCTGGACGTGCATGCATCTCCGATGGTATTCTATGGGTCGATTCTAAGATAAATTTCTGCTGGAGAACGTGAAATCACAGATGAGGTATACGAGTAAACCTTTCAACCAACGTATCTTTTCATTTTTCTGGGGCACCAGAGCCCCATTACTATTTCCGTGTCGTTCGCAACGTTATTTAGAAATGAACACAAGAGGAAGTGAGACAGAGATTTTTGTACGGTCCATCATTGGACATCAATCGATTAATTTCATTGGAGTAATCAATCGGTTAAGATTATTAAAATACCTAAGGATGTATTTCATTGATACGTACACCGCAAATCCTCTATTTTTTATTTTAAATTGTAATATATCATTTATTTAAAAAATAACTCGGGAGAAACGTATTTGCGACTCGAAATCAGTGTTATCAGACCGCGCATCGGGGTCTCCAGGAACTCCTTATTCCACTTTCGCACACTATGCCCAATTGCGTGTACGTGAGCTCGTAGAGTTTCGGAGAGCCGAGAAGAACAGGCTGATCCTCGCTTTCTTTCTCGCTGTTGCATCGCCTCCCGTTTGAATCGTCAGTAAACGACAAAAGCCATCGTGGCTGACAGCCCTTACTTGCCTTGCAGATGGCGAAGATTCACGCCACAAATTCGAATAGGTGCACTTTACCGACGAAATTAAAAAGTTTCAAATCATTCTGAAAAAATTATTTTTAGTTGCGGGGATCGATTACGATCATTTTTTGTGGATACACGTACCCTCGAAATCCTACGCATTTTCGAGGAAAAAATTCTTTTCCTGAGAACAAAATGTAAAAAAACCTGGTGGGAGAACGTCCAAGTTTGTCGTGAAACAGTTTGCTGTCTTCGACGCTAGATGGCAGCCATTTTGGTCCACGAATGTCCATAAGGTGAAAGGTCTACTTGTATGCAGAGGTGCCAGATTCTGCACCGGGTGCACTACTCACACATGCCAGATCACGCGGACGCGAGCTCATAGAGTTTCGGAAAGTCGACAAAGGCAAACTGACGCATGTCCTCTTTTTCGATTCCCCGAAGCTGCCCGAAAGTACTTTCGGACCGCCTCGTGGGAGTCGAGAGAGGAAGGCTCACATTTGAACAACCGAAATCCGCCCTCACGACAACAGCATACCAATAACAGGAACCGACTTTCACGCCGACAAACTCTTTCATTCTTTAACATTACCTATCACCATATTTTTGGAATTTAGCAATCGATGGTACAAGTGGAGTATGATTATACACAGAACTTCCGTGCGAAAGCATCGAGGATTTCTGGAATCGTTGGTGGTAAACGCGAGCAACCGTTGCTGGCTAGTTCCTGGAGGGGTGGCCAGGTCCAAGAAGCAACGTCGTGGCGCTCGCAATTTTTTTAATATCGTTACCCGGGACCAACCTGGACTCGCGAAGCGGGATAACGCGAAGCTATTTATACGCAACTAAATATAAGTAATG